TGAAGCGTATGTAACCCGAGGTACCACTGTACTATTCTGAGATTCCACAACCGCCTGCTCAAATTTCTTTATTAAAATGTTAGGGCCCAATGAGCAATTGCCCTCTGAGGGCAACTCTGGGCTTCCTTCACCTTTCCAAATGTCACATTCTTGGTCAGAATATGCCCTAAGACAACCTTCTTCAACCTGTTTACCCTCCAGATGTTTTGGACTACAACTCCCATCATCCCCAGCACGGCCATGCCAGCTGAGGCGGATGGGAATTGTAGTTCGAAACAACTACATTGGAATGCCTTTAAAGTTTCAGATTGCTTGAACAAAGCTACAGGTGCCAATCTTAGCTGCCATGCTCTGTTTCCTCAGCAGGGATGTGTCAACCTGTCCATTTCAGTTTTTCGTTTTTATAATCTTAAATTCAGTTCTCCACATTCCCACATCAGTGGGCTGTTGTTGGTTTTTTCAGTTGGAGGGGGGGATAATTGAGTTCTCATGAAAACCCATCAGCATTTTAATCAACTTTCTCATAAGATACGCATGGCATATTTTTGTGAAACACTTTTCCTTAACGTAATGTGCTTTTCGTATGCCATTTTCTCCAGCGCATGCCTTCTGATACACACTTTACCCTACTACTAAATGTGTTTTTGTATACATTGCTTGGCTGGGAAAAGCACATTGCAAAATTCAGAGAAGTATGAATGTTGAAGGTGGCTCATACTTTGGTTTGCATATTCCTTTGGAAAGTGTGATTTAGGCAAGGTCTCCTTTAAATGTGAACGGAATTGAATTTCTACCCCCATCTCTACCCGGGAGGCTCAAGGTCAGAGTCTGACAAGGTGTAACAAATCTGAATAAAGGAGACTCAAAATTAAGCCACATATAAATGAGAACTATTCCTACCACAGGCTGCGCTTATTAGATTTGGCCAGAAAAGAATTGGCAAAGCAGGGCGTTTCCATTTAACTTCTGGCATCTGCTAGCTTCGCATTTATTTTAGAACTGCTTAGCAGCTGCTGACCATCCAAATAAAGATCTTTTAATTTGTTGGATGCATTTGAACTGTGGCGCATCCTCCATTTCTAACAGGTTGGGACACGCAACAAAATGTTGCAGCGTACCCTTGCCTTCTAAGCAGGAGGGCTCCTGCTCAAGGTTCCTACTGTCTAGTCATGCTTTCCTGCTAGATTTTATAAGCTGGGAGATGCTCAAGCACAGCATTCCACTCTCCCACCCGCTGAACTGTCCATTTTTCTCTTCCAGCATACCATGGCTAGTGAGAATGCTCAGTCTGTGTTGCAGTGGGAGGCTGTGTCTTTTGTTGTTGTTTAGTCGTTTAGTCGTGTCCGACTCTTCGTGACCCCATGGACCAGAGCACGCCAGGCACTCCTGTCTTCCACTGCCTCCCGCAGTTTGGTCAAACTCATGTTTGCAGCTTCGAGAACACTGTCCAACCATCTCGTCCTCTGTCGTCCCCTCCATCTTTCCCAACATCAGGGTCTTTTCCAGGGAGTCTTCTCTTCTCATGAGGTGGCCAAAGTATTGGAGCCTCAGCTTCAGGATCTGTCCTTCCAGTGAGCACTCAGGGCTGATTTCCTTCAGAATGGAGTGGTTTGATCTTCTTGCAGTCCATGGGACTGTCTTTAGAAAAGGTTTCTTTGTGTTTCTGCCAGCTTTAGGGTTCCACTGAACATGCTGGTGCTTGCTACCTGTTTCTTGGTGGTTCCATCTACAGCATTCATCATCTGACTTACACGCCCTCCAACATTTCCCCCATGAAAATGGGGACATCCTATTCCATACCTTTCAACATTTCTCCAGTGAAAATACGGATGCTCTAGGGAGAATGGGACATTCCGGGGTCAAATCAGAATCTGGAACGGCTTCTGTAAATCTGGAACTGGCCCTGGAAAATAGGCACATTTGGAGGGGCTCTGGAAAAGGAGGACATTGGCTCTAAAATAGCCATCTGCGTAATGCTTAAGCCATTCTTCTGTAATAAATCATCATTTTATGGTTGCCTTAGTTTCTTAATTCTTTGGGTCAATCAGGTCACTTTGCAGGCAATATTTCAGGAGATCTTCCCTTTTGGTTACACACGATTTCTTCCCTGCTCCCATCTTTATTCCTGTTTGCGCTGCACTAATAATTCACAGAAGGATTAAGAATGTATTGGGGTCTGCTTTTCTTCACTGGCTATATTTATCACTGCTTCGAAAGCCACGTTCGCCAACACAGTTATAATACTTTCAGTGCAGCCTTTTCCCGCAAAACTTGGAGCTCAGTTTTTAGTAAACAGGAATCGCTCAGTCATCAGGCTTTGGAGAGGCTGTTCCAACCATCTGTCTTGTTTAGCAGATCCTAGATGATTTCTAAGCTAATAACTCTTTATTTGCACATACGTAGGCTTTCTACTTCATTACTTTATTAACATTTTTAAAAGGGCATGATTTATTTGTGAAATTAATTATTATTCCTATCAGATGATGGCTTGGTGTGACTCCATTCGATGCACCTGCCCGTTCACAACTAATTATAGCAATTATGGCTTCATGGTTCTACAGGAAAACTACCGCTCATTAACTTTAATTACATTTGAAATGCAGCTGCCTGGATACATACAAAAATTACCAGGTAGATCCATATTTATTAACTCTCTCTCTAAAAAAAGAAAAAACACCGTATGGATAGTATTTGCTGATTTTCTCCCTAATTTCCCACTTTGCCTCTAGGCCTTTCTCTTCCACCACTAAAAATTACTTTCCCCTCATTAAACAATGTTCATACTTTCGCCTTCAGAGCACTAACTCAGATTTTGAAGTATCTCTAATAAAGGGCTCTGGATATAAAACCAAGATTAATGGGTGATTATTATTTTTCCCAGATACCAAATGTTTCATTTTTAACCAGGGGAAAGCAAAACCAGCTGCAATAGGCAAATCAATTATTTTCCTCAGGAGTAAATAGTTTGTATAGAGTGACTGCTACTTCATCTATGAGACTGCCTTACTGCTTCTCTTCATATGAACCTACCTGGACCCTGAGATCATCATCTGAGGCCCTTCTTCATGTGCCTCCTCCTCCAGAGGTCCGGAGGCTGGCAACACGAGAACGGGGCCTTCTCTGCAGTGGCTCCCTGTCTGTGGAATGCTCTCCCCAGGTAGGTTCATCCAGCGCCTTCATTGTACACCTTTAGGTGCCAGGCAAAAACGCTCCTCTTCAAATTGGCATTGGGCTAGCTAACATGCTATATACTTTTAAATGTGTTTATGGAAGGGGGTAGGGTTATTGGTGTGTTTTGGTTTTGTTCTTTTTTATCATTTATTTTGTGTTTTTATCTTGTCTTTTTATGCTGTGGACTGCCCTGAGATCTGTGGACGAAGGGAGGAATACAAATTTAATAAATACATATGTCCTCTCGACAGCCTGCGGAATTGGGACTCTTACAGGTGCTGAGTAATATCTGTTCCAGATTTGTAATAACTTGATATTTTAATGTGGCAGCACCAATACTTTGGAACACCCTGCCTATTGATATCAGGAAGGCCCCTTCACTGTACCCTTTTCAGTGCCTGCTAAAAACATTGTATGCAGGTTGTAAAGGTAAAGGGACCCCTGACCATTAGGTCCAGTCGTGGCCAACTCTGGGGTTGCGGCACTCATCTCGCTTAGTTGGCCAAGGGAGCCGGCGTACAGCTTCCGGGTCATGTGGCCAGCATGACTAAGCTGCTTCTGGCGAACCAGAGCAGCGCACGGAAACGCTGTTTACCTTCCCGCTGGAGCGATACCTATTTATCTACTTGCACTTTGACGTGCTTTCGAACTGCTAGGTTGGCAGGAGCAGGGACCGAGCAATGGGAGCTCACCCCGTCACAGGGATTCGAACCGCCAACCTTCTGATAAGCAAGTCCTAGGCTCTGTGGTTTAACCCACAACACCACCCGCGTCCCTTATACAGGTTGTAGATATGCGTAATTAAACCATATATCATTAAAAAAAAATCAGAATCTCTGCTGCGCCTCATTTCCAAATGGAAACATGAACCTTGGTAAATACCTGGAACCGCTGGAATCTCTCACTGCTTGGAGATCAGGGTGGCATGCAACAATCCTTTAAGGTTATAGTGTGCACACAACCTTAGTTTTTCCTCCTTTGTAGCAAGATTCCTAAAGATCTCTAACTATAGACAGGATTCTGCCCAGACACTGAGGTCCAGTGCCGAGGGCCTTCTGGCGGTTCCCTCGCTGCAAGAAGCCAAGTTACAGGGAACCAGGCAGAGAGTCTTCTCAGTAGTGGCACCCGCCCTGTGGAACGCCCTCCCACCAGATGTCAAAGAGAACAACAACTACCAGACTTTAGAAGACATCTGAAGGCAGCCCTGTTAAGTTGTGGGCGAACATATCAGATGACACAGCGATTCTCCCAAAGCAGCTCTTGACGATGGGGGTTTCCCACTTGGCGTGGTCAACCAGCTCCAAAACTCCTTGGGCGATCAGCTTGTCCAGTTGTTCGTCCACCTTAGCCTTGAGAGCAAAGGGAATCCGGTGTGGCTTTAGCTTGATGGGGGCGACTTGTGGATCAAGGCTAAAAGAGATGGGCGTACCTGTATATTGTCCCAAAGTGCCGTCAAAAACCTTGGCAAAGTCTTTGACCAGACCCTCCGTCTCTGTGTTAGAGATGCTGTTGATGCTGGTGACTTCCAGGCCGAGGGCATCAAACCAGTCTAGTGAGAGGAGGCTTGGCCGCTGACCTTCGACCACTACCAGTCGGAGCAGGCCCGAAAAATCCTTGAAGGCGATCCGGAACCGGCCAACGCCTACCATGGGAATGTCATTTCCCTGGTAGTCTCTCAGGTGTACGCAGTGAGAGTCGAGTTGCCTTTTGGACACTCTGGGTACCAGTCTTTTGATGGTGCTCCAAGACACGATGGACAGGGCAGACCCGGTGTCAATCTCCATGTCACATGGAGCTCCTTCAATGAGCACCGTGACGTTCAGCTTGCGTCACGTAGGTGAGTCGGTTTGGCCAATCGTGGTTCCAGACGGGCAGCGGCAGTTGGTGAGAGCGAAACAGCTTTCCTTGGCAGACTGGAGTGAAGATTTGGACATGCGAGTCGGTGAAGGGGGGGTGTCAGATGGAGCTGATCGGCAGACCTTAGCGATGTAGCCCCTTCTGGAACACGTCCGACAGATGGCGTCTTTGAATCGACACTTGGCACGGGAATGGTTGGCTCCGCAGCAGGCACATTCCGGTTGGCCCTTGGACTTCTGTTGGAGCTTCCTGTGCTCCCGCTTTCTCTGCTGCATGTCATCGTCTTCACTGGAGGATGCCTCTTCACTGCTGGCCTCTTCGTGATGCACTGGAACTGGCTTCCTAGCAAGACGCGGGCTGCTGGCCTTGCAGATCTCCTGGGCGAAGCGTTCAGCAGCTTCCGAGGCCACAGCCTCCTCAATGGCTTTCTGCAGTGTGAGGTCTGGCTTGGCGAGGAGACGCCGTTGCAGATGGATGTCCCAGACCCTGCAGACGATTCGATCCATCAGGGCATCGTCTAAGTCTCGGAACTTGCAGTGCATTGCAGCTTGTCGGAGGGCAGTGGTGTAGTTGTTGATTGACTCCCCCTCTGCCTGGTTCCGGTGGTAGAACGCATGGCGGGCAGCAATCTTGGACGGCTTTGGTGCGTAGTGGTTGCAGAGCTTCTCTTGAATCGTGTCCCATGGTGTTGCCTGGACTGCTTCAGGCGCAACCAATGCTCAGGCCGTCTCAAACACCTCAGGCCCACAGAGGCTGAGGAATAGGCCCCGCTTCCGTTCCTTTGATACTGCTGTCAGCTCGTTGGCTTGGAGGTAGCAGTCGAACCGAGCGAGGTAGGAGTCCCATGATTCAGAGGCTGGCGCAAATGGCGGTAGAGGCACAAGTGAAGCCATGATTCCGATGCCGGCGAGAAGGGCGATGGATGGAACACAGTGCTCTAGCCAGGACAGTCAGCTCTGAATTGGTTCTGTCCAGTGATTCCGCTCAGTGATTCAGCTCAGTGATTCAGCTCAGTTCAGAGGATGGCCGCATCTGGCTGTGCTCTGATGTCCATCGATCCCATCCTCGTCGCCAGTGTTAAGTTGTGGGCGAACATATCAGATGACACAGCGATTCTTCCAAAGCAGCTCTTTATTTGTAAGCTGGAACAGAACTAACTGAGGAGCTCAGTCAGCCTGCTTATATAGAGCTCCAGAACAATTGTAACTGTTGCAACTTTCTAAAACTATCAAATCACAGAACGTCACTTTTCGATCCTTCATTTGCATACAAACTATCCAATCACAGAACGTCACTTTTCAATCCTTCATTTGCATACAAACTATCCAATCACTGAACGTCACTTTCGATCCTTCATTTGCATAACTATCTACAGTATCCCCCTGCTGGCCCAGGGTGAGAACATCAGTACATAACAAGCCCTGTTTAGGGAAGCTTTTAATGTTTAATAGATTATTGTATTTTAATATTCTGTTCGGAGCCGCCCAGAGTGGCTGGGGAAACCCAGCCAGATGGTCGGGGTCTAAATAAATTATTATTATTATTATTATTATTATTATTATTAATTGCATCCCCAGTCTTGTTTGCCCATTTGGCGTGTGCCAAAGAAGTTCCAGCAGGCAACCTTTCTCCCCCCAGGGTACTTTTAATGACATTTAAGAACAGCCACTAAAATGGTTTTATAACATGCTTTGGTGTAAGACAGAGCTTGTAATGTGGACTGTCTTGATAAAATATGGCCTTCTAAGTGATGAGATGTGCAACAGGCGTAGGTGAGCATTTGATATACCCTCAGGGAAATGCATTAGAAGTAATTATGTCTGACCCATTGTAAATTTCTTGCGTGTGGGCAGGCAGAGATACTTGCTATTAATAAAAGGTTTATCAGCTCCACAGTCATTTGGCTGCGTGTAATCTTGAGGACAAATGGAATTGTCACTTTCATGTAGTCGAGTCTCACACGCAGTCTATAGAGTTTTATTTATGACACCTTGGCGGAGGCTTTCTGTCGCTGCACAGAATGGATTTGCTGCTGGCAAAAGCTGAGGGAACGTAATTCCAGTCTCGTTTTCAAAAAAAAAGTCTTGAAAATGAGTTCTTTCAAGGGTGGGTGGCATTACCGCTGGAGATTTCTTGCTGATGGTTAGCTGGCAGCTAGCTTATGGGATGTAAAGGCACATCATTCCAAAATTGTGCTACTTCTGTTTTCAGTGCCATGGGGCCCTTCACAGGAACCTGGACCCCAGAATGTCCAAGCACGGAAGCAAGGATACAAACAGCGTTCTGATGCAAGCTTTCCTTCAGCTGCTTGAAAAATTATCCTGTGGCTCTTTTTGCATATCTGTTTGTTTGTTTGATTAGATTTATATACCACCCTTCAGTTTGAACAAGGGATTTCCTTTGGCAGCTCAAATATGAACTGTTGCTGTTGATTTGCGCTTGTCACCCTAGATTCCTGCATTGCAGGCGATTGGGACTAGATGATCCTTGAGGTTTCTTCCAACTCTAAAATTCTATGATTCTAGATTCTGTATAGGGAAGTTTTTAATGTTTCATGTTTATTATGTTTTTGTATAAGCTGGAAGCTGCCCAGAGTGGCTGGGGCAACCCAGTCTGATGGGTGGAGTATAATCATTGTAATAAAATAATAATAATAATAATAATAATAATAATATAATATCAAAATGAACTTCTGTGCCTGAACTATAGGTACTTACCAGGCAGTCATGAGCATGGAATTGTTCATAATATCCAACCCAATGTACAATTTCACTGAAGTTTTGGGTTAATAAAAATGTTGATCTGGTTTACTCAGATTCTTTTTATATTACAGTGGTACCTCTAGTCACACTTCTCTGAAGTCTCTCAGCCTCACTAACCTCACAGAGTGTTTGTTGTGGGGGAGAGAGGGAAAGGAGAATGTTAGCCGCTTTGAGACTCCTTCGGGTAGTGATAAAGCGGGATATCGAATCCAACCTCTTCTTCTCGAGTTAAGAACTTAATTCGTTCTGGAGGTCCATTCTTAACCTGAAACTGTTTTTAACCTGAGGTACCACTTTAGCTAATGGAGTCTCCCACTGCTGCTGCGCCGCCACCGTACAATTTCTGTTCTCATCCTAAAAAATAGTTCTTAACCCAAGGTATTATTTCTGGGTTAGGGGAGTCTGCAACCTCAAGCATCTGTAACCTGAAGCGTTTGTAACCCAAGGTACCACTATACAGATTTGCTGTTTTAGCTGCTGGGAATCAGCCCACAGAAATTCTACGGCATCCCCACTTGGGGCCAAACTGGAGGGGCCAGTGCCCATGGTGCCCATAGCCCAACAGCCAATCTGGACACAGCTTCTAGCATGCACAGCTGCGCAGCTCGCCACACATGCAGCCAATCATCACAAATGAACACACATGGCAGCAGTGGAACCTCAACCCTGTGGGGAGGTCCTGTCCTCCAAACCCCACAGCACTGCTGTACCCTACAGAGGTTCCTGGTCCTAAGGAACATACCATAGGGCACACCCGTGCTTCCAGAATGGTGAATGGGAGGGCACTGAGGCTGGTGAAGATGCGATTCCCAGGCCTGTATCACACTAGTAAATGCGCAATGGACACGCTCCCCTGAGGAGGTGCCTGAATTGGTTGTGACTTGTGCCGTGCTTCACAACGTCGCCATGCCTAGGGAGCTGGCCAGGCATGAGTAAGATCTCGAGAAGGTACCTCTAACAGTTGGAGGAGAAGACGCCGATGGTGATGGTGATGATGATGATGAGAGGAATTGCATCAGGGCCCTGGGGTCATCACCACTGGGAGCCAGGGAGTCCTTCAGACCATGAAACTAGCTCAGAGGTGGAGAACATCTGGCCCATGGGAGCAGTCAGTCATTTACAGTGTTAGACCCTCAAGATATATACCGTATTTTTCGCTCCATAAGACGCACCCAACCATAAGACGCATCCAGTTTTTAGAGGAGGAAAGGGGGAAAGCCCCGGTTTTTTGAGGATCAGCTCAAAGTTGTGCAGCTTCTTTTGCAAAGGGAAAAAAATCCTGTTTTTATGGGGTTCAACTCACAGTTCTGCAGCTTCTTTAGGAAAGGGAGCCATTTCTACAGTTTCCAGACAGCTAATCTAATCAGCCAGTCACATGTCACTGGAGAAACAAATGGCCTCTGTCTACAGAACATTCAAAAATGGAGGTCTGGACAAGGGAGCCAGCGATCGACCTCACATTCACTCCATAAGACGCACAGATTTTCCCCTTACTTTTTAGGGGGGGGGAGTGCGTCTTATGGAGCAAAAAATACGGTAATCTAATCACCAAACCTTAGTTATGGTTGCCACAGTGGACTGCCTAGGTGCCGTGTGTGTGTGTGTGTGTGTGTTTAGTGGAATTATTATTATTATTATTCATTTCTACACCGCTTTCTATTTTAAAGATCAAATCCCAAAGCAGTTTATGCGGGAGATGCCATGACCCTATTTCAAATCCTTCTCCAAGTGACGTTTTGCTTTCCCCAGCCGCGAGCCTGGCATCCAGAGATCTCCACGTGGTCGCAATTGGACCTGCGCAGGTCACAAAATGCACCTGGGAGATTTCTAACAGTGGGTTTATGACTATCAGGTCTGTGACATGGCTTTTATTGGGATCTTAAAGTGAGCTTTGTGAAGTTCTTGAAGGAGGGACCTCGTGGCTAGACCCTGCACGCTTCATTGGTGGCTAAGAAACCCTTTTTACAGCACTGGAAGGCACGAACAGCATTTACAGGAGGAGTCTGGTAGATTTCCTGTCTTGCAGCGGATGACAAAGTTACTTTTCTGGGGTCTGGCACCCCTGGCTGGAGCGATTTGCATAATACGGTCCCTGCCAGAGCCTTCCCGCGCCTACCTGACCACGTCTCCCCATTTCTCCTTTTCTATTCTTGACTTTGATTTTGCCTGATTTTGCAATAATGGTGTTATGCATTGTCCTGCTTTGGGGAACCAACGTTTCTTCCCTTCTCTTCCCCCTTTATCCGTGTCCCTTGCTCCGTTATGGAAAATCTGAAAATCCAAATAATACTAATAATAATCCCACATACAAAGCTCCAAACCAAAGTCACGGGAATAATCGAAAAGAAGCGATCCTAGCTGTGGTCCATTAGTAGTCCCAGCCAACAGCGGCGGACGCAGGAGCAACTACGGTAGCCGCGCCGCTCCACGGCGTTTTACGGTAAGAACCCCTTTCCGGCTAGCGAAGCGACAACGTAGCTGTCGACAATTGCGTCCCTCGCGGGGCGCCGTAGAAACGGCCCCTTTTATTTAAATTCCTCTTCCGGTTGACTTCCCATAAGCAACCGCGGGGGCGAGACGGGTGAGCCGTCTTCCTTCCTGCCCTGCTGGTGTGCATAGGTGTCTCTCTGTGTGTGTGAGAGAGCGAGCGCGCTGGGGCCCAGCAGGTGGCGCTGTCTCAGGAGCGGCGGCGGCGGCGGTGTGTGCCCTTTTTCTCCTTCCCCCCACCCTCAGCCGACTGCGCACCCGGCGGCCCCGGCCCGACGGAGTGCCACGTCCTTAATACTGTGACGGTGGCGGCGAAGAGGAGGAGGAGGAGGAGGAGCCGGGCGAGGGCGTGTGTGCCGAGAACAACCGCCCCCTCCCCACTCCAGCCGCCGCCGCCGCCGCCGCCGCTTCCTCAGCGTCCTCCGGGCCTGAGCCATGGGCTCCTCTCAGAGCGTGGAGATCCCCGGCGGGGGCACCGAGGGCTACCACGTCCTGCGAGTAAGAGAAGGCGCTGGGCGTGCAAGGGGAGGGGGGAGAGAAAAGGCGTGTACGTGGGAATACGCGCGGGCGGGGGAGGCGTGTACGTGGGAATGCGCGCGGGAGGAAGACACCCGGGGCTGGCGGGGGGGGGGGGGCTTCGGCCTGTCTGGCTGGCTGGGAACGGGGCGAGAGAGGAGGATAAAGTAGGACAGACCCGTAAGAGTTGGGAAAGGGGGATCCGAGGGTCATCTAGTCCACCCCCCACCGTCTCTACAGTGTAGGAATCGTGGCCATCACAGCCGATCGTCTCCTTGTGCCCTCCGGGGGTAGACAAGCAGAGGAACAAAAATGGCTTTCCCACCACCGCCGCACCAGCCCGGCCCTCTGCAAAGCTGATCGTTTCTCCACTTTGCCTTTCCAGAACAGGGTGTGGGTTTGGGGGGGGGGGAGCTGCCCTCCTTTAAACTTGGAAGAGAGGGCCACCCTGAGCCCGGTTTTGGCTGGGGAGGGCGGGGTATAAATAAAAATTTAGTATTATTATTATTATTATTATTATTTGGTTGGGCTGCGTGGTCGAGTACGTGCTGCTGGGGAGAGAAGGGGTTTCGGGTGGGTTGAAACGTCGCTGTTGCTGTGTTTACAGTGGTACCTCGGGTTACGCTCCAGGTTACAGACGCTCCAGGTTACAGATACCGCTAACCCAAAAATAGTACCTTGGGTTAAGAACTTTGCTTCAGGATGAGAACAGAAATTGTGCAGCGGCAGCACAGTGGCAGGCCCCATTAGCTAAAGTGGTACTTCAGGTTAAGAACGGTTTCAGGTTTAGAACGGACCTCCGGAACAAATTAAGTTCTTAACCCGAGGTACCACTGTATTATACCTTAAGTCCTAAGAAGCTGGTAAGTGGTTCTCTCCCTGCCTCCCTCCATAGCGGTCCACTTTCCCCTTTTTTTAAGCGACGTTCCCTTATTACAAATAGGATTCCTCGCAAGAAAAGGGAAAAGTTGACAGCTATGCCTCCCTCCCAGGTTTCTTCTCACAACAACCAGCAAGGTTGGCTAAGGCAGGGAGATAGAGGACTGGCCCACCGAGGTCACTCCGGTGAGCTTCGTGACGGAGGAGAGGTTTTGAACCCTGGTCTTCCAGGCCTTAGTTGGACACACTGTGCATGCAACCCCACATGGGCGCATTGAGGGAACCACATGGGTAAATAACTTGCAAGCAGGATTTTATCCATTACAGTGATGATTCTCTTGGGGAGAATCTCCTGCCAGCCTTCTGCACCTCTCTAACTATTGGGGCACAATCACTTTGAACAGTGACCGCTGGTCTGCTCCTATATAGCCTTTTTCGGAAGCAGGCCGCGCTGCTTGTTGAGTACATTTTGGATTGGGAGTGTAATGGTGTGCTATCCCCCACACCATTTCTATTTATATACTTTTGCAGAGTTTTCTTAGCCCAAACTAGCCCACCTTTGATATTCTGCTTCTAGCCTTGGTCCCTATTTTGATTGTGCTACTCGTGCATTCTGTTTTACTGCCATAGTCTGCATGTCGGGTATCTTTATTTCCATCACTTGAGTAACTTCACGGTGTCGTTCAATGATTATACAGTGGTACCTCGGGTTAAGTACTTAATTCGTTCCAGAGGTCCGTTCTTAACCTGAAACTGTTCTTAACCTGAAGCACCACTTTAGCTAATGGGGCCTCCCTCTGCTACCGCGCTGCTGCTGCACGATTTCTGTTCTCAACCTGAAGCAAAGTTCTTAACCCGAGGTACTATTTCTGGGTTAGCGGAGTCTGTAACTTGAAGCATCTGTAACCTGAAGCGTATGTAACCCGAGGTACCACTGTACTCAGAAAGAGATGGTGTCTGGTGCTGTAGTCTTGAGATCCTGTAAGGAAAATTATGACCTTGATGCTTCTGAAGTGTCCAGTGTGATCTGCCTTCCTTCTCTTGGGGATGTGTTGAACCAAAAAGAACATCTCGTAGAATTGTCAAAAGCTAATATTTTCCAGAGGGATAGCCTTGGTAGGATTCGTCCTCACACTTGTCCCTTGGGAAAACCCGCTGTTTACTGCTGAAACAAATCTCAATAGGTTTTTGGGGGATTGACGTTTGTCAGTGGCTTGGACCTGAACGAGACAAGCACAAAATCTCTTGGACCCAGGCTTTCTAGGCACAGGGCAAGCAGAAGTTTGGAGAAGCCATTAGTTTGCAGCAAAAAAACAACTAACAACTTAACAACTAACACTTTAAAAAATGATATAAGAAGATTTTTGGGTTACAGCCAACTTCATTAGCTGCATAAAGTGTCATCCTGAGTTTCAGGTGTATATATATGCTTGGGGTATGTTTAGGCGTGTGCAAACGCTGGGATGCAATAAGTGAAATGCAGAAAGTACAAATGGTGATAATTATGTTACTAACCTTCAACAGTGGCCACTGTTAATAATGTAATTACCACTCTGTGCTTTCTACATAACATTTTGTTCTGATATCATTGCTTACGTTCCCTCCAAACTGTGTGTGTATAGATTAAGGTGATACAAGTGAATATTCATCACTGAAGATTAAAAAGTTAATTCCCTTTCTTAGTTGTTTACTAATATGAAGACCTCAAATTCTCCACTGTAAACATCATGAGCGTTCTTTTTATGAGTATAATGGAGAAGTTGCATCTTTATATTTCTAAAATTGCATTTTTTCATAATTGAAAATCTTGCTTTATTTCCTGCACAAATAATGGTGTATTTGAAGATAAATATATTGTCCAGTTTTTAGTTCATTATCTTCAAGCTAACTACGAAAGTTGGAAATAGTGGCTGATTTCAGTATCAGAACTTTCACTCCACTGAAACTTCTTTGTAGAGCTCATTTATCAGGTGTTTCATCTCAAGATGAATAACTTTACTTGATTTCAGTTACTCATTTTTCACTGTGTGAGGAAGTATAAGAGAGATAAGGATCTTTTGTAAGGTCCTTGCTACTTCATTGTTCTAGTCCAATGCAGACCAGGTAAGCCATAATCACATTGTTGATTGTGGACAATCCAGTTAACTTAAAAGCAATTCCCCCAGAAAAAGTTAATTGGTAGCACATGAATATAATTTATATAGCAATGTTGGTGTGCTGTATTCATAGCATTTTACCCTTGGTGCTTCAAAGCACACTCAAATATGACCAATGACTCTTTGATACTGTATTGTTCTGAGTCTTGAAGAAAAGCTGTAAGTGTGAAAAGGAATGTCACAGTGCTGCAGAAACTCATTTATTTTTATATTTGGAATAATCACTTTCCACCTGAAGAAACCCATAGCTGTTAGCTATATGGGAAAGGTAAATGACCCCTGGACAGTTAAATCCAGTTAAATGTGATCATAGAGTGCAGCGCTCATCTTGCTTTTCAGGATGAGGGAATCAGCGTTTGTCCACAGACAGCTTTCCGGGTCACGTGGCCAGCATGATTAAACTGCTTCTAGCACAACAGAACACTGTAATGAAAACCAGAGCACACGGAAACCCTTTTTACCTTCCCGCCGTGGCGGTACCTATTTATCTACTTGCACGGGTGTGCTTTCGAACTGTTAGGTTGGCAGAAGCTGGGTCAGAGCCACAGGAGCTCGCTCCGTACGGCAGATTTGAACTGCTGGCCTTCCAATCGGCAGACCCAAGAGGCTCAGGTGTTTAGACCACAGTGCCATCCGTGTCCCTTGTTAGCTATATGCAGTACAGGGAATGTAACTATTGAAATGTAGGCAGAAACAAAATTTAAAACAGCATCAATAAACCATAAATAAAGCATTCAAGCAACTCGGATGTGCACTTCTGTTTACCTGCTTTGCTTAGTTGTTTGACAGTTTACAGCATCTCAGGGCCTGTCATTTTGTTGAAAGAAATTATGGCTCACCATTCATTGAGTCACATTTTGAAAGCTGCTTCTTAATTACTGATGTTATCTCCCCTACCAAGATGTTCTTGCCTGACTTGTATGGTACTGTAGATAGTCACCAAAATAGTTTGCTCACATAGTAAAGTTCTGTTTTGTAGAAGAGTAATACCTGGAGTCTTGTCCCAGCGTATGTAGGTGCTCACAGTGTGTTTGTGAGCTAATGTGGTGTAGTGGATGGGGAACGACTAGGTTCATAGCCTTGCCTGAGATATTAGCAAGCCACTTTGGTTACTACCTAATGCATATCATTGCCTTCTTAGAATGAAGTGAGAAGGATCTCTTATAATTTTCCCTGAGCCCTTGAGATAGCAAGAAGTAATCTTAATGTGTTGTTTTAGCCCTAACACCGGACGCTAATGGCTATAGTTCTATATTTAATTTCATCCTTTATAATGCATAATAATTTGAGGAATGTTATTGTTACAGTATACTGTTGAAGGTGCTTCTGATGTTCATCTGATTTCTTTCATATGGACATATGTTGTTAAAATATTACATTTTGTTCCAGATGATAGCATTCTTTAATTATTTTCCCTCCGGCAAAGAGAAGGGGAGGAATTCAGTATTGCACTATTCATTGGTGCAAGCATTTTTGCTTGCCACAATTCTCCTACCCCTGCACACTGTTCCAGGGGTTATCCAGACCCATAAATCTGCCTAGCCAGTGGGAACTGGGAGGGGAGAACCCCATTGCGCAAACGAAAGTTCTTGTTCAAGTCTTCCACTGAGGGGACTTATCAGGTGAATTCTTGCTTGCAATCTTGATGCATTACTGAACATTATTGAACATGTTCTTGAACACATTACTTGTTTTCTTTAAGACACCAAAACTGATTTGGTGTTTTATCACAGAAATTATCAGGAGCAAGTTTCTTAGCCCTGCTAGTTGTACGTATTTCTACAATATGGTAAAAGGTAAAGGACCCCTGGACAGTTAAGTCCAGTCAAAAGCAACTATGGAGTTGCAGCACTCATACCCCAGTACGAAGAGGTGTGTTGCAGGAAAGCTGCAAGGTGGCGCCGTGTCTCTTGTGCTCTCGATTGTCAGCATCTCCCTGAGAATAAGAAGTTGGACGTTCTCCCAACTGCTGCTTTCCAGCTCCAGATCTGGAGTGCTTTTGCTTAGAAATTGGCAGTAACTGAATAGACATTACCAAAGTTTCATAGACTGAAACATTAACAACACAGTAGAACCTGGAAGGCAATGTTTGCTTCTGCTTAAACAAGTGAGGTTCATACTTGGCAGTGAGGTTCCAGTTAGTGCCTGGGAATCTGCTATAAGACTTGGTCAGGACAGAAAGGGGAGGCTCATCCTTTACTGTTTCATGTTTGTGAAGCTGCTGAGTGAAGTTATGGATTAATATGGAACCACCAGCTCAGCTCTTTAGAGAGGCTTCATTTCTTGCAGTGGCACTGTTAAAAGGAAATGTTACTGTAAAGTGGATGGATGGAGTTCATCAGTTCTTACTCTTGTCATATCAGACTGAGCTCACAGCTCAGTTGCTCGGGAATCTCAATCATGGCGTTAACCACGAGTACCAGGATGCAGGTGGTGCTGTGGTCTAAACCACTGAGCCTAGGGCTTGCCAATCAGAAGATCGCGGTTCGAATCCCCGCAACGGGGTGATCTCCCATTGTTCGGTCCCAGCTCCTTCCAACCTCCGCAACGGGGTGATCTCCCGTTGTTCGGTCCCAGCTCCTTCCAACCTAGCAGTTCGAAAGCACGTCAAAGTGCAAGTTGATAAATAGGTACCGCTCCGGCGGGAAGGTAAACGGCGTTTCCGTGCGCTGCTCTGGTTTCGCCAGAAGCAGCTTAGTCATGCTGGCCACATGACCCGGAAAAACTGTCTGGGGACAAACATCAGCTCCCTCTGCCAGTAAAGTGAGATGAGCGCCGCAACCCCAGAGTCATTCATGACTGGACTTAACTGTCAGGCATCCTATACCTTTTTACTCTTTGCCCATCCTGTTTAGTGAGTGATTTTCCACTTTTTGTCCCATAGACATCTAAAATAGGTATAACTGGGGTAAGCTGTTTGGAAGGCTGTTCCATCCATGCTTGCAGAATGTGTACCAGCTTCCTGCTGAGCAAGGAGCCGATTTTCAGAGAGAGCATGTGTATGTTCTACCTTTGATGCTTTTCTCTGGAGGTCCACCAAAGCCTGAACTTAAAACAAGTTTTTATTTGGCAAGCTAGGAATAAAACTTGTTAAACTTGGGAGAAACTGGAAGAAGTGGTTGCAGAATATTTAGCTTGTATGCGATATTAAATTCCTGCATATACAGTCTTGTACAGTATTGAAATATATGCATATCTGCACTTTGCAAATGGAATAGTGAAGCAACCAGAGGTCCTCAGAAGACCTGCTTGTGGTAGTTAAAAAGTGATGTGTATATTCTATATTGATTTTGCAATATTACTTAACAGTAGGGAAAAATAACGGCTTCAGGTTCCTTGCATGTAAAGTAATTTTATGCTGAAGAGGTTTAGAAGAAGTACATTAATGCAAGTTTTTGTGTTGGTTTGTTTTTTTGCTTTTTCATCAGCTCTTCTGCTACAGCTGGTCTAGAAAGGAATGGTTATAAAATAAGCTAAAACAATTGACTAGCTGTACTGGTGGGGCGGGAGATCACTGCTCAGTACAGGTGATTTATTTTCTTGTAACCATTGGATCAATTCACTTACAAAGCCTTTTCTCCTGAAAAAATAGATTGTTTCTGAAAGTGTTCATTGGAATCCTATAATATTTTAATATATTTTTAAAGCAATCTGACAATCAATTTTCATGGTACTACCTGAAGAATTGCCTTTACTGCAGATATTTTGTTGAAACATTTTATTACACTAAGCTTCCTCTGCACTACAAAACAAAAATCTCTCTTCAGCATTTTGCAGCTGATAGATGATCTGGAAAATTCCTTTTAAAAGCTTTTTGAAGGTTTTTGAAGCGACTTGAGTCGCTTGAACTGAACTCCAAATTCTCACATTCTAGATGCATAGCAGTTAAAAACCCTAAAGCTCTAACACAGTCGCATTGAAATTAATAGATCTGCCTCTTAAGAAAACATCTTTAAGACAGATATGTAAATAAATCCACTTTACCAGCTTGTCAGTTCTAACAGAATTTGTTGTGAAGATAGGCTTGAAAGTATGTCAGAAATAGAAATTTCAAAAACCCAAGCAGACTTCCTAGTGGTTGGGGGATGTCACCATGCAGCCAGTATTAATGAAGCTACTTTTGAGTAATAGCAAGTAAACCAGCGAAGATATAATAATAATAATAATAATAATAATAATAATAATATGTTATTTATACCTTGCCCATCTGGCTGGGTTTCCCTAAGCACTCTGGGCGGCTCCCAACAGAATGTTAATAATAACAATAAAAGCGATAAAAGATCAAACAATAAAAACTTCTCTAACTAGGTTCAGATGTCTTCTAAATGTCAGATAGTTGTTTATTTCCTTGACATCTGATGGGAGGGTGTTCCACAGGGCCACCACCGAGAAGGCCTTCTGCATGGTTCCCTGTAACCTCACTTCTCGCAGTGAGGGAACCGCCAGAAGGCCCTCGGAGCTGGACATCAGTGTCCGGGCTGAACAATGGGGGTGGAGACGCTCCTTCAGGTATACTGGTCTGAGGCTGTTTAGGGCTTTAAAGGTCAGCACCAACACTTTGAAAGTAAGCTTTTGTCCATTTTTCTGGGAACATTTTGCTATCCCTATTAGATCCCTTTGTTTTTCAATTGAAAATGTTCTCTGGGCAACACTTTGCTCAGTCTAATTAAGGTCAGTATTTTGCTAGTCATGTCCCTTTAGCTGCTTCACTGAATTGTGAGATTTAAAAAGAATCTACCTAGAATAGATTTAACATGCAAGCCAGCCTTGTCCTGTCATTCCTGCATACACTGTGGGTTGGCAAAATGAATTATTTGGGTCCATCTTTGCTTTTAATTTTCCTACTTCCTGATCCTAGGAAGTTCCCTGAGATGCCTTCCTTTGCTATGAACAGCTATTCAGATGAGAGAAGCTTGTTCTTTATTTTTAAAAGATTCCGTGGGGTGTAATGGATTCTACAGTTTGTAATGTGGCACACAAAATACCAACAGCCTTCTGTATTTTGTTTGCACTACTTTAATTTACAGTACTGTAACTTTTTGTCAGGGCCTGATGATGGAAGAGGCACAGCACAGGCCACATTTCTTTAAAAGTTAATTAGAGCTGGTTTTCAAAGGCTGCCAATATCCTTGAGCAGCCATCTCCAATTCTGGATTTACGAAGGTCGCTGTGACATTGGTGGCTTGAGAATAGGGAACCGTACATTTTGGCCGGGCTTGGTAGTCAGCCATACTTTCTAACAAACAATAGAGGCTGGATTTCTTGCTGCCTGCTCTGTTGAGGTGAAGTATCCTTTAATAGTGGATGCCTGGGGAAAAGAGTTTGACATGAGAAAGAGTGGTGGGCATTTACATTTGTAGTAACCTTACTGGTGGTTTTTCCAGCGATCTAATGACTGTCTTATGGGTTCCCTGGCCGGAAATTTCAGGCTTTTTCCACTGGCTCTCAAACCCATTGAATTGTCTTTCTAATTTTTCTTGTAATGTGTTTGTTTTTGCAGGTGCAAGAAAATTCACCAGGACATAGAGCTGGACTGGAGCCCTTCTTTGATTTCATTGTTTCAATTAATGGTTCGAGACTGGTAAGTTAATTCCTGAATTAAAGTTGCCCTGGGTTTTAGGCTTGTAGGGTGCATATCTGAGAACCAGAAATCAATTCTCTTAACTTTACAACCTGATAATATATATTTTATGTTTTTTGCTGGATTTAGTCCAGGGAGAGCTCCTCGCAATAAAAAAAGAAGGCCGCGATCCACCTTAAAAGTATTTTTTAGTGAGGTTCAAATTATGTTAGCTATTTTAGGCTCTCCATGGCTTTCGAAGTGGAGTAGCCAACAGAAGCACATCACTCCAGGCATAAATCCATAACAATGGGTCATTGATGAAAGAAGATATTTTTGGTTCCTATGCTCCTGCCCTGGAACCTTTCGTATGATTATATTAGAACAGGCTTTCTCAAACTCGGCCCTCCAGATTGTTTTTGATCTACAACTCGCATGATCCCTAGCTCCCAGGACCCAGTGGTCAAGGATGATGGGAATTGTAGTCTCAGAACATCTGGAGGGCTGAGTTTGAGGAAGCCTATATTAGAACAAAGTTGGGGTGTCTGATTGAAAGACAGTGGTTCTATCTGGATTTTTTCCCTATGCCTTCTGGCGAGGAAGAGACAAGCAGAACTGAAGTATCCCAGTTTCATTTTCACTATACCAGTGAAAGTTGCAGGAAGCAGCAGGGAAGCTGAAATGAAGGATATTGGGAATAATTAGCAGCGAAGAATTTGTGCAGGTGCAACAGATATGGACGATGAACTTGTGATATCTTACTTTGCAACATTACCAGTATTACCACTTCATCCCCCTTCCAGGAATGTTAAGTCGGGTATTTTTTTAATGACACCAAATATTCAAATAGGACTTCTTTGTACATATTGTATTATGTCTTTAATGTAAAGCACAACAAAGCATACAAATTAAATAATAGCTGTCTTCAAAACCGCGAGAATTGACTGGCTCCACACTTAACTGCACTTAAATCCCTTTGAAATCATTACAGCTAGAATCATGGCTTGTCCTTTCAAAGCCAATGGGACTTCATCTAATTTAGTCTAGATCCAACCCAATATTTTTGTCGCCAGAGCACAACTTTTGTGGCCATCTACCTCATTCAAGGGATGCGGGTGGCGCTGTGGGTTAAACCACAGAGCCTAGGACTTGCCGATCAGAAGGTCAGCGGTTCGAATCCCCCGATGGGGTGAGCTCCCGTTGCTCGGTCCCTGCTCCTGCCAACCTAGCAGTTCGAAAGCACATCAAAGTGCAAGTAGATAAATAGGTACCGCTCCTATGCTGGCCACATGACCCGGAAGCTGTATGCCAGCTCCCTCGGCCAATAAAGCGAGATGAGCACCGCAACCCCAGAGTCAGCCACAACTGGACCTAATGGTCAGGGGTCCCTTTACCTTTACCTTTACCTCATTCAAGCTCAGAGCATGAACTTGAGAATTTGGATTGACAAAACGTTAAGAGGACTGATTGCAGTCCAAGAAGAAACCTTTTAATTAGAGGACTGAGTTCTTAAAATGTGGGAACTTAATACTTCTGCCACTAGAACCTTATGCGCTGGGAACTTGGGGTGGGGTCCGTGACATGCTTGTGGCACCAAATGCCATCAGCAGCAAAGAACATAGAAGTAGCCTGCCCTTTCAGCTCTAAATATTTGCCCTAGTATGTTTCTTGCCGTGCCACAGAGTTCCCCAGTTGCGCAGATCTCCCACCATTTTTCATGGCATGGAGCTAGACTCCACATTGCTGTCATGAGCAAGGATTCCAATAGCTGAATGTGTTTTTAAAAAATCATTTTTTCCCTTTATAATTTTCCACTCTGAAACTTTAAAGTGCTTATATGCTGCTACAACTGAAGAATGTAATTGCAAAGGAACTCTGAAAACGATACCTATATGCCTTTCCTAGAACAAAGACAATGACACGCTCAAGGATCTGTTGAAAGCTAATGTGGAGAAGCCCGTGAAGATGCTCGTATACAGCAGCAAAACCCTGGAGCTCAGAGAGACATCGGTAACTCCCAGCAACCTCTGGGGTGGGCAAGGCCTACTGGGAGTCAGCATTCGTTTCTGCAGCTTTGATGGGGCCAATGAGAATGTGTGGCATGTGCTGGTAAGTAGAAGCAGGTAGAGGCTTTTCTACATCATGCTGCCATAGAGAAAGTCAGGCAAGAGGACATTCTTTGCTCAGTATTGTCTGCTGGTAGCAGCTCTGCAGGGAGTCTCTCCCACTCCTACCTGGAGAGACCAGGGTTTGAACCCGTGACCCTTGGCATGTAAAAGGATGTGTGTGCTTTACTACTGAACCATGGCTCTCTCTGGGGCTCAGTAGCAGAGCGCTTGCTTTGCGTGCAAACATAATTCCCTGCAAATCTGGATGCGCAGATGCTTCTAGTTCTAACGCGATTTACACGTTTTTAATAGCGAGTAGGATTGCTGTTGGAGCAGTCCAAAGGGAGTTTGCAGAAGTCCTAGAGGAAGTTGGAGTGTCATGCAACTTCCATCCACTTAGCTCAACAGCTTTCTCTGAATGAGGCCCATTTCCTTGAATTATTTCTTCACTGAGTGAAATTATTGGTCGTCAAAGCCAGGAGGATTTTCATCCTTCGGTTTAATGCACACCCAGGGCAAGCAGACAGTATCTGAGCTGAAATGAGGTTTCCATATGCGGTTCTTGTGGGAAAAGACTGTGCGCCAGCAACCGATAGCAATACATCATTTCAGCAAACGGATTGTGCTGCCCATGTGTGGTTCCACATGCAGAGGTCTATGTACATACGGCTTTCAGTTGCTGTCATGGTTCTGTATATTGGGGCAGCTTTTTATACCCTGCATGTGCCCATTTTTCTCGTTACTGCTAAGGATAGTGTAGTAAATCTTGTTGGATAACTGGGTGAGCAATGGCAACAGATCTGTACCCAGAGCAGGTCTAGGATACATTTTTAGTAAAATACATTTCAAACAGAGGGTCCCCCCCACACACACACACCTTTGCATGAACTGAAGGGCACCATTAACTTGTGAGCCAGAGGTTGCCCAGGGAGTTTGAGTGGAAAAGGGAGAAGGGAGGACACCCCCCCTCAAAAAAAATAAAACCCACATAATCGGTCTGAAGTTTCGGTTTTCTTGTTTTTTAACCAAAGATTGGTGGTGCCTTCTGTAACTTTTCTGACTTTAGTTTTAACTTCTACTGCTTCTCTCAATTTTATGTCTTGAAACCAGGAAGTTGAATCCAACTCACCTGCCGCTCTTGCAGGTCTCAGACCTCATAGTGACTACATCATCGGTGCAGATACTGTCATGAATGAGGTAAGTACATATTTCATTTATTAAAGAACCAGGGTGGGGGCTATTTTTAACTCGAAAGTCGTTCTGAGAATGGTTTCAGGATTGCCTTGTGTCCTGCAGTGCAGATCTTTCCCTTTCAGTAGACATAAATAACTTGGGAATTCAAAATTTGCTCTTTCACTGTAATTGTGTGGAGCTAGCGCAAACTCCCGAGGAGATTCATTTTGCGGCTTTGCAACATTCCAGTCTCTATTTCTGCATAAACGGCAGGCTCAGTTCTCAACTTCGGAATCTAGAGCATTGCTTAGTGGGTTTAGAAGGGCCATAGTAGACCTAAGATATTGGGGGCACTAGCTTATGTCAAAGAAAAGTAACAGTTTTTTTTCTTCTCCTTCCAGTCCGAGGATTTATTCTCCCTTATCGAAACTCATGAAGGCAAACCATTAAAACTTTACGTATACAACACAGACACTGATAATTGTCGGGAAGTGGTCATTACCCCAAACTCGGCCTGGGGTGGAGAAGGAAGGTAAGCTGACTCAATAGAAAAATAATATTAAGCTTCTGGATTGTTTCCATGCTAAGTGAACTTGTTGCATAGGTATGCAGTTCTGTCCTCTGCTTGAGGTGGCAGAGCGCTGAGGCTCCCAACACCTTTTTTCCCACAGCTGTCTGTATATAGACCAAGGTGTGCCATGTCAATTGTGGGAGGAAAGAGCAGGTGCACGAATCTGCTGCATAGCAAAATTTCTCATATGCTCCAGAATTTCTCCCTGGATTAATGTATAGAAACATGAGTGATTGATGTGATACCCACGCCCTTCCATTTATTAAACACTTATTAACACATATTTCACGTACATTGAAGATAATGTAATACAGTGGTGCCCCGCAAGACGAATGCCTCGCAAGACGAAAAACGCGCAAGACGAAAGAGTTTTCCGTTTTTTGAGTCGTTCCGCAAGACGAATTTCCCTATGGGCTTGCTTCGCCAGCCGATACGTCGTGCGAGTTCTTGCGAGTTTGTTTCCTTTTTCTTAAAGCCGCTAAGCCGTTAATAGCCGCTAATAGCCGTGCTCCGCAAGACGAAAAAACCGCAAGACGAAGAGACTCGCGGAACGGATTAATTTCGTCTTGCGAGGCACCACTGTAATAGGGATTTCCCCCCCTCCCAGCATATTGGGTTAAGAGTTAGCTTGGCAGTGGCTTGTGATATCTGGATTCTCTGGGATATCTTAACTTGGAAAGGGGATTGTATATTGAGCCAAACGGAGACGAAATGGGAGAGCGGTTTATAACTCTTGTAATTGTACAACGGGACACAGGTGGCGCTGTGGGTTAAACCACAGAGCCTAGGACTTGCCGATCAGAAGGTCGGTGGTTCGAATCCCCGCGACGGGGTGAGCTCCCGTTGCTCGGTTCCTGCTCCTGCCCACCTAGCAGTTTGAAAGCACGTCAAAGTGCAAGTAGATAAATAGGTACCTCTCCGGCGGGAAGGTAAACACCGTTTCCGTGCACTGCTCTGGTTCACCAAAAACGGCTGAGTCATGCTGGCCACATGACCCGGAAGCCGTACGCTGGCTCCCTTGGCCAATAAAGCGAGATGAGCGCCGCAACCCCAGAGTCGGCCACGACTGGACCTAATGGTCAGGGGTCCCTTTTTAATTGTACAACAGCGTTTTATATACAGTGGTACCTCGAGTTACAAACGCTTCAGGTTACAAACTCCGCTAACCTGGAAGAGTTACCTCGAGTTGATAACTTTGCCCCAGGATGAGAACGGAAATCGTGTGCCGGCGGCGCAGCGGCAGCAAGAGGCCCCGTTGGCGAAAGCACATCTCTAGTTAAGAACAGTTTCAGGTTAAGAATGGACCTCCAGAATGAATTAAGTTCGTAACTAGAGGTACCAGTGTAATGGGTGTGTGCATGTGATTTCAAGAATCTTGTCTCTCAGTTAATCATTGAATACATTGCTTGGAGACCTCAGTAACTGCTTTCTTCTACAAGAAGCTACGCATGCATTACAGATCTGAGGTCCTCCTTCAGATCCCCCGTGTCATTTGAGATTAGGCAAGCAATGACAAGAGATGGGGTGTCACCACTGAGAAGGCCTTGTCTGTAGAAGGCTGTTCATCTGGCTCATAGCTCAGGTCAAGAGTTGCTTTACATCCAGACATTCAGTTGACCCTAGTCATTCTTTTTAGTGTTAATAGTTGTTTTTCATATTGTTTGACCATCTTGTCTTTTATATGTCTCTTTGAGAACTTGGCTTGGAGCAGCAGCCACTGAATTAGCTATGGCTTGCAGTGGCAAACATACATTGTGCACTAGCTTCATAAATGAACTAGATCTACTTAGAGTTGAATCCTGACAAAGCACCATGTTCCAAAGCAGCAACTCTTTGATAAAAGACCCAGGATAAAACGCCTTTTTTGTACTTTCTAATACCTTATATGTTTCTATTTTAAAAGCCTCGGTTGTGGCATTGGCTATGGTTACTTGCATCGAATACCGACGCGCCCTTTTGAAGAGGGAAAGAAGATTTCTCTTCCAGGACAGTTGTCTAGTTCACCTATTACCCCACTCAAAGATGGTTTTACAGAAGTGAGTTGCATCGATTTATTTTACTTTTGTAACTTGCACTCCAGTCCTTAACAGATGTGTTAGATTTCCATCCCTGCAGGAGCAGTGTAAAATGTGATACTGCAGAGACACAATTGCATGTCCCTTTCCAAGTATATACATTTGCTATTGCTCTCTTGAAGCTGAATCTTTACTGAGAGTTTTATGCTCTTGGGAATCCCACTAAAGCAGCAATTCTACAACATGGCTTCTTTTGTTCATTTTTAATAAGGTTCAGCTGTCTTCGGTGAACCCTCCACCTTCATTACCACCTGGAACCACAGGAACCGAACAGGCTCTAGCTGGGCTTTCCATTAGCTCGACTCCTGCCGTCCCTAACGTGCTCAATACAGGTTTGTCTTTTTATGTCATTAGGATATTTCCGAATGAAAGAGCAAGCAGAGATGAGCTTAGTTTATTGTTCCAATTACTCAAGATCTGTGGGGTAAAAAGCAACGACCCAAGACCTCGCAAACCTTTGTGCCAGGACATTGCAAAGTTGGACATTCCTGGGGCTGCGGAATGGAACTGTTCTTCACAAAAGGTGGGATCCTGATTCCCATAGGTGGAATTCAGTGAAAGAACAGGGAGCAATGTGCAGAAATCATGTAGGTCAGGCATAGGCAAACTCCGGCCCTCCAGATGTCTGGGAGTACAATTCCCATCATCCCTGACCACTGGTCCTGTTAGCTAGGGATGATGGGAATTGTAGTCCCAAACATAGGCCGGAGTTTGCCTATGCCTGATGTAGGTGATAGGAAAGTCCTCTGCTTGTAACCCCGGAGAGTTCTGAAGTAGGTGATGCTAGGCTGCATAGACAAATAGTTTTGTCTGGTATAATCTAGGTGGCATCTGAAATGAAAGTTGGCCTCTTTCTTTCCCTTTAGGTGTTCCTACAGTACCATTATTGCCTCCCCAGTCAAGTCAGACTCTTCCTCCAGTTAACCCAGCAGTAACTTTGCCAGGTAAATGGTAACACAATGAAAATGAAACAATCTTTTCAAGAGGCGCAAGTGTGTGGGTTTTTCCTTGTTCGGTCCATTAATGCAACCTTCTCCAACCTGATGGAAATTGTCCACTGCGGGTAGGCAGAAGCTGTACTAGAACTTCAAACCGCAAGTGTATTGCAGTCACTAATTCTGCCAGTTCTCTAACTGGCAAATATAGGTTGTTAAATTTGAGATTATCTCCTCCCCTCTACAATTGTAGTTTTAAATGTACAGGTTTTCACATCCATGGGCTAGAGGTATACTGATTCTAATTTAATGTCGGTGATGCGCACAATATTTCTAAAAAATCAGAGCAGTAACCCAATATATGATTTTAATTAATGCAGATATGTATATTTGCATATTGCCACATTGTAGGCACCTTTTTGAGGTGCTGGGAAGTGCAAAATTGTAATTTTAATAAGAGCCTGTTTTTAATAAATATGGTAATATTTGATTTGATTTTTGGAAATAGGAAAATAATTTGATATTCATTTGATACTCACCAACATGCCAGAACCAGAATAACCGTAAAAATACGAAGACCCTTAAGCACACTCACACCACTTAATAGTGGCACCTACCGACTGATGAGGAAAAGCTTTAGCTGCTCCACCATTTAGGCCCAATTAAAAGTTGCTGTCTTACACGAGTCTGCAGTGAAGCGAGGCTTGTAAGAACACTTAACTGGCTTTTGAATGAAATGTTCCTGGTGCTGCTGCAATGTGTTTAAATTTCTGAATTCATAAAAAGATAATATCTGTAGTTTAAAAACTCTAAAATACAGGGAATTGCACGAGGGGAAATGTTGCTATGGAGAAGGCCAGGACCACATTGCCATCCATCAAGCTTTAGCTGGGAGTCAAAACTGTGTGGCTTGTACACCATTAACCCTTTATTTCTTTGTTGGCCTATGCACATAATTTCCCAACAGCCACAAAGGAAACTACCGTATTTTTCGCTCTATAAGACACACCAGACCACAAGACACACGTAGTTTTTGGAGGAGGAAAACAAGAAAAAAAATATTCTGAATCTCAGAAGCCAGAACAGCAAGAGGGATCACTGCGCAGTGAAAACAGCAATCCCTCTTGCTGTTCTGGCTTCTGGGATAGCTGCACAGCCTGCATTCGCTCCATAAGACGCACACACATTTCCCCTTACTTTTTAGGAGGGAAAAAGTGAGTCTTATAGAGCAAAAAATACGGTACCTTCCCGACATGAGTTAAAACAGTATGTATGACATTCACACAGAAGTCATCCAGCAAAAAAATTTCCCAGAATGCAGCTGTTTCCGTGGTAGACAGATTTGCACACTGCTTGTTAAGCTGATGCGCAGATACACGTTGGCTTTTTATGTGCATCTCCATCAGGTAGTTGAGGATGTCAACTCCGACAGCTCCAATTGCCTGTTCACGAGAACCAGTGGGGAGGTCTTAGTATAGCCCCTCAAAGAAACACTCATCCCTTGAAGCAGTCATCTTTGTTGAGCTAAATTTTTACCATCTGATCCACGTGGTTCCTGATCCAGTTGAGAATGTATGCACTGAACATGCTTCCTTTGACCCAGTGATTTTTGGACACGTAAATTCAGTCTCGTAAAGTTTGGGTTTTTGCTCTGCCTTGAATCTGATTTGTCAAGCTTTTGAAATCTTAATGGCCATACTGTACCTGGTTACTCATTTCTCTTTCTCCTTTCCTATACATTTTTAGGACTGATGCCATTACCCACTGGACTTCCCAACCTGGGTAATATCCCAAACCTTAACTTACCTGCCCCACACTTAATTCCTGGTCCTGGATTAGCAGACATAGGACATCCTGGTAAGTTTCTGCAGACTTGTTTATTGGCTTTTGATAAACCAAATCTTAACAAGTACGATACAGTTATGCAGTGCTTTCAGTGCAGCTAGTGAGTATAGCGTCATGACATTTGGTAGGAAGACTGCCCACAGTTCTGCAAACAGTTCAGAAAAAGCAGGATAATAAATACAGTAATAATAATAATTTTTTATTTATACCCCGCCCTTCCCGGTTCAGAAAACCGGGCTCAGGGCAGCTAACAGCAAATTTAAAACACTTAATTGATGCAACAAAAAACAGCATAAAATACAGTGTAAAATGTGAATAACAATAAATTCAGAATTCAAAAATCAGTTTAGGGGAAAATCCGTTCAATAAACATTAGATGATCACCAGGGCTAGCTGGCTAAATTAGTCCCACTTGGGCCAGCGAGGAGACCAGGGGAGATCCAGCTGTGGGATCCGAGAGCGGGCAATCTTCACAAAAAGGGGAGGGGGAGGGAAGGAAGGGGAACAAAAAGATCAGGCCAGGTTCAAATTGAAAGCCAGGCGGAATAGCTCTGTCTTACAGGCCCTGCAGAAGGAAGTTAAATCCTGCAGGGCCCTGGTCTCATGGGACAGAGCATTCAACCAGGTCGGAGCCATGACTGAGAAGGCCCTGGCCCTGGTGGAGGATAGTCTGACTTCCTTAGCGCCCGGGACCTCTAAACTATGATTATTCATGGACCTTAAGGTCCTCTGCGGGGCATACCAGGAGAGGCGTTCCTGACTACAGTTTACGCAGCATGAGGTGCAGAGTTCAGCTTCCTGAAAACCTCAGACTTCCTTTCTAAAACAAAGTTCAAGCTTCTAGTACATATGTTTGAAAGTGTGCTGGCAATGCCTGCCAAAATCACAGAGAGACGGCAGGGTTGCTAAAAAAAACAACCAGTGGGTTGGACATCACATCGCCCTCTAGCAAAACTAGACCTATTAATGAAAAATGGTTAAAATTGCTGTTTGATTTCTTTCCTTGTGTGCAGAGTATTCATAGCCCTGAACATAGCAGTGCTCTGAAATGGCGGTTTGGGAGAGAGGAAAAAGCTGGAGCAAAAAAATGCATACAGACTTTACATGTTTGTGAATGTTAATATTGACCACTTGGGTTGGATTTGGACTCTAGGAAAGATCAAAAGTCACCATTCTCACCCTGTGCAATAAGCGTATTATTGAAGGCAAGAATTGCACTGATTAAAAGGCTAACACATTCAGGAAGCATATTTTAAAGAATAGAAACTGATGTTTAGTTGAATACAGTTTCTGTTGACATATAGCAGGCACCCCAAAACTTGGCCATCCAACTGTTTTGAGACGACAACTCCCATCATCCCTAGCTAACATGGTCAGGGATGGTGGGAATTGCAGTCCCAAAACATCTGGAGGGCTGAGTTTGGGATGCCTGACATATAGGAATCAATCGTGGCTGGAGAATTATAGAAAACAACCATACAGTTTTTTTAAAAAAATCTTCTAGAACTGGACTAGGTGTGACACTCTTGTGTATTGTGAATCATAACCAGTTAGGCCACATTTACTGGAAACAGACTGTGACCTGTGCACTCTGTATTGTGCTGAAGCAGGGAAAAAAGAGTCAGCCTTGCTTTCTAGTCATTGTGTGAAAAGGAGAGTTGTGGACACGGAATGATAAACTGTTTGCACGTTACTCTACTTACGAGGGCTAATGGCCGTTGGTTCACTTGCACCACATGAGCCGCAAAAGGGGATGTGAAATCTTCTGTATAGGAATGTCTTTGGCGTAAAGTTGAAGCCTTCTCACACAAAGTGTCTGTGTGCGGGGGGGGAAAGCTGCTCTTCCATACGATGGCAGATTTCGACTACAGTTTATGCAGCACGGGGTTAAGAGACGTGGCCATCTCTGTATAGGCTGGTAGATGTCTAGTTCAGTAAAAGGGCTAGGGGACCGAGCTGTGAAGCAAAAGAACCCCGCCCCAAAATTTCACATTGGTAGGTCGCCTCAATTAAGCCTGTTTTTTCTTGTGTGCATGCCATCCATGCCCCACCTCTCTGCAACACTGGGGATGATCCCACATTGCTGTAAGGATTAGTACTAGGGCTGGGCAATGTCAGCTTTTCAGCATTGCAATGTACCACCAGCCCAACATCACAGTGTTGAAAAGCAGAGGGAGGAACAAGCTGCAAGGCGCTGAGGCAAAACTGCCTCAGCGGGAGCAGCGGCAATTTCACCATGGCGCCTCGTGGGGCCAGGACTGACGCTGCTCACTCCTTCCACCGGGCGCGACCGCCTCCCTCTGCTGCCAGCGCCCAGTGGGAGTTGCAGGCAAGCACACACACACCCGGTGATCTGCCGCCAGGTGAAGGCGCCATCACACTCTGGCTCCCAAACCGGTCTTGGGCGATGTGTCAGTTACATTGCCCGGGCCTAATTACTACTAACATGTAAAGTGCTTTGAATGCGCTCGGCATGCAATATTCATTTTAAATATGTTCTGCCATTTAGAGTACAGTGGTACCTCAGGTTACAGACGCTTCAGGTTACAGACTCCGCTAACCCAGAAATAGTACCTCGGGTTAAGAACTTTGCTTCAGGATGAGAACAGAAATCGTGCTCCGGTGGCGCGGCAGCAGCAGGAGGCCCCATTAACTAAAGTGGCGCTTCAGGTTAAGAACAGTTTCAGGTTAAGAACGGACCTCCGGAACGAATTAAGTACTTAACCCAAGGTACCACTGTACTTAATTCGTTCTGGAGGTCCGTTCTTAACCTGAAACTGTTCTTAACCTGAGGTACCACTTTAGCTAATGGGGCCTCCCGCTGCCGCCAGCATTTCTGTTCTCATCCTGAAGCAAAGTTCTTAACCTGAGGTACTATTTCTGGGTTAGCGGAGTCTGTAACCTGAGGTACCACTGTATCTGTTTCATAAGCTAAGGGAGGAAATGCTTATGCGTATAATACCCTAGTGTAAAATGTGTGTTTGTGATCTGTTTTTTGCCTTTCCACGTTCTTAGGTTTGCCACCGCTTCCTTCCTTGCCTTCCCTAAACCTTTCTGGAATCTCACCAGAATTTCTCGCGCAGTTTCCAATGGTGACTGAGGTGTCTACCCGGCCTGCAGATCTACTATCCTCCGCTCCTCAGATAGGGAGCTTACCTGTTAATCCAGGCACTACAGTAGGCGTGGAACAAATCTCCACATTTATCCTGGATGCTCCTCCTCCTCTTATTACTGCAACGACGATGGCTACTACCACTCCTCCTCTCAGTGCTCCTGCTGCCAATGCGTCCACTCCTGAAGACAGAGGGGATGGGTCATCCACATTCAATGAAAAACCAGCATCCTTGGTGACGGAGGCGGCTGCTTCTGAATCATCATAACTTCAGATGTTTAGTTGGATCAGGCTTGGTGTATTTATTCAGCTGTGGGATAAATATTAAAAGAAATGCAAACTACCATTAATTTCATGCTAGTTTGTATTTTGCAGTTAGGTTTCCTGTAAATATACTAAGGGTCTAGGGTTTTTACAGGGAGCTTGGTGGTAGGGATGGGGAGATGGGAAGGAAGTGCTTATATTTAAAATAAAAACAAAAAAATATCAAGGTAAAAGAATATGCAGACCTCAACTGCCAAAAATTGAGGTATTTTTTAAAAAATCTAATCTGAATTCTGTAGGCCTCCTTGCTTCTCCCTCCTGCCTCCAAGTTTTGCTTCTGTAAAAAGGAAGAAGCAGTTCATGCTTGTGGCATTTGAGAACCATTATTCTTGTACTTTGCAAGAATTGTGAGAGGACAGAGGTCTTTTGTCCAGGTTGTACATTTTAGCTCTATAAAGTCCTTCGAACTAAAGCTGTTTATATTAAAAATGTCACAGAGTGCGACTTGTCAATTCAGCATCATTTTAAATCTGCCTGTGCACAGACTTTCTGTTGAGCTTCTGCCAGCCCTTACCCCTTAACCTCCACTGCTTTGCTTTATAAAGCCCACTGACGAGAGGCGTTTTGAAGAAATCAGAAGGAAAATGCTCCCATTAACATTGGACATAGCTCAAAGGGAGGAGGGGTGGAACTTTCACTTTTGTAAAAACAAAAAGAGTTGTATGGAGAGAGCTTACATAATGGCAATAAATTCTGAGAATTTTATCTTTTGACACAACGAGACCTTTTATTACATTAGGACATCGGCAAACTGTATCTTTGGGAGTGAAGAAACATTTCACTATAGCTGGATTTAACTTGGACTTGTGTCCAGAAGATGGAGAATCTGTTCTCTTTAAAGCCCGATGACTGATTTGCAAAGTCCAAGCCTACCACCATTTCAGCGAGCCATGCTCCTAAGTAAGTATTTGTAGGATGTCCACCTTAAATTGATTTCTAGGCAATAAATACTGCCGCTTTGCGAGGTGGGAGGACAACTAACTGCTGAATAAATAGCTTCTGTGTCCCTTCTGTCTGCAGTGCAAACCAGTCTTGCAGTTCTTCAAATGTCAAATTAAGTCTACTCCAAATAGGAGTGTAAATGCCACATTTTTAAAGGGTTCATGTAAAAGTAAGGCTGTGTCACTAAGTTCAGTAGATGCTGACTACACTTGCTGACAAGTACCTGAACTTTGAGGTGCTTGGCTTGGATGTTGCATGGACCGTGGCCAGCAGAAACTAGGAATGGCACGCCAAATGACTCCCCTTACTCCAGCAGATACCCCTTTGTTGGGCAAACAGGTGCTTTCCAGCTTTTGCTCTTTTAAGGAAGGGGTGTTACCTCGCAGAGAGAAAGAGGATCCTCTGCCTGCCCAGTCATAGAATCATAGATGTTCTTCAGGGTCCCTTCCAACTCTTAAGACTGGTGACTGGGAGCGGCCGCCGAGACCATATTACCCCGGTCTTGAAAGACCTACATTGGCTCCCAGTACATTTCCGAGCACAATTCAAAGTGTTGGTGCTGACCTTTAAAGCCCTAAACGGCCTCGGTCCAGTATATCTGAAGGAGCATCTCCACCTCCATCGTTTTGCCCGGACACTGAGGTCTAGTACCGAGGGTCTTCTGGCAGTTCCCTCGCTGCGAGAGGCCAAGTTACAGGGAACCAGGCAGAGGGCCTTCTCAGTAGTGGCGCCTTCCCTGTGGAACACCCTCGCACCAGATGTCAAAGAGAACAACAACTACCAGACTTTTAGAAGACATCTGAAGGCAGCTCTGTTTAGGGAAGCTTTTAATGTTTGATGTATTACAGTATTTTAATATTTTTTTGGAAGCCGCCCAGAGTGGCTGGGGAAGCCCAGCCAGATGGGCAGGGTATAAATAATATATTATTATTATTATTATTATTATTATTATTAAGTTCACTTTCCTGCAATGCGGGAATATACAGCTATGCCATACGGGGATCGAACCTGCAGCCTTGCTGTTATCGGCACCATGTTCTAACCAACTGAGCTGTCCAGGTCACATCTATTCCTTTTAAACAGACTGCGGCATGTAATGGATAACAAACTCTTGCGTCTCAGCTGCAGAGATCATTCAGTGCTAATACTATCACTAGCTCCACAGAGGAGGAAAATATAATGCTGCTTGTCAATGTGTAACTTACCCTGTCTTCAACCAATTGGCCTGGTTACCATTGGCAGTCAGGAAAGCCCTCCAGATGGTTGGTTCCCCCTGGCAAAGTAGAAAAGACGCTCTGCTTTGCCAGCCTTGTTGGCTTCCTCCGCAGCCGGTATAGATGTCGATCCGGGTAGCGAACAGCACTTTTCTCCACTAGCTGCACAAGTGCTGCCCCAACCATGGACCCAAAGGCACTCTGCTTGAGTAAAATTGATGCACTGGACTGGAGCTGCAATATTTCCCTACAACAGAAAAAAAATAAAAATCAAGGACTCATTTCCTTTGCTTCTGTCTGGTAAGGAGAAATGGAGAAAAAGATGCACTTGCAGCCTGCAGTTTAAAAAATTTAATTCTTACAACTAAAAGATAGTTGTTATTTAAAAAAAAACAACAACAGGCTGGTAACCTCTGGAAGTTGAGTAATGAAGTCAGCCTTAACCTTATGGTCCAATAGGTGACTAGCTTACTAGAGGCCGGAGCCTCTGCATTTTTGCTTCAAAGTCCTTTGAGTTAAGGGGGAGTTATGCTTGCATAGAAGCAGAGCCTAATGTCCTGCACAGCAGGGATTGGTTAAACTCTCTTTTTACCACCCCCACGCTTCTGTTTTGAATTGCTTCTGAAAGCTAATCTGGAGGGAGGAAGTGCTGCCATTAGGTCTGTTGGACGCGGGTGGCGCTGTGGGTTAAACCACAGAGCCTAGGACTTGCCGATCAGGTTGGCGGTTCGAATCCCCGCGACGGGGTGAGCTCCCGTTGCTCAGTCCCTGCTCCTGCCAACCTAGCAGTTCGAAAGCACGTCAAAGTGCAAGTAGATAAATAGGTACCACTCCAGCGGGAAGGTAAACGGCGTTTCCATGTGCTGCTCTGGTTCGCCAGAAGTGGCTTAGTCATGCTGGCCACATGACCCGGAAGCTGTACGCCGGCTTCCTCGGCCAATAAAGCGAGATGAGCACCGCAACCCCAGAGTCAGTCACGACTGGACCTAATGGTCAGGGGTCCCTTTACAGGTGGCCTCAGGTCAGAAATAGGCCTATAAAGAATGATGCACAGTTACACAAACAATGGGGAGAAAGTGCTGTGTGTGTGTGTGTGTGTGTGTGTGTGTGTGTGTGTGTGTGTTCACGTCCCCTCATGTCCAAGCCATGCTTAAAAAAAAAAATCCTTTCTCAAGGGAGACTTCTCACAAACATGGCATTGCCATAGTCCTATTTTTTGAGGTAATCTGTGCAAAGCCACTATGGATCTCTGAAATGGCTGCCCAATGAAAAGGCCTTGCATTGCCTCTCCCCTCGGCAGCGGCCAACAGTCAGAGGTGGCAGGAGTTGTGGGCAAGCGACTTCTCAAAGGTCCCCCAACCTCGCATTGGGCTTCTGCGTATCTCTATAAGTTAGCGCGCAATCCGAAAAGGACCTGCCTTATCTGCTTGCTCCTCCACTTGAGCTGTGTGGAGTACCAGAAAGTCCTTTGGTCCTCTGGTTCTGAAGGCCAGGTGGTTTAACAGCTTGCCTCCTGTTAGGTACAGTCATAGTTTTGCCTGTGAGGCTTTGGAGTCTTTACCAAGCAGCCCATCATCTTTCTACACAACATTTCAACCTGATCTTTTGTGAAGTGACAGGTTTGCGTATGTCCTGGAGACATGGTGCAAACATGCCCTTCTGGCGATCCTTTCTGTTTTCATACACAGTACGTTATCAGGATCAATACATATGGGTGCCATATGTCCAGAATTTCCTGGACATAGCCATAATTTGTCCACCAAAAACGGTGCCTGGGTGGCTAAAATCAGAAATGTTAATATTTTGACAATTTTTTTAAAAAAAAAACTTTTTTGGGGGGGGGAGATTTTGCAAACAAAAACCGTTCAACAACTTTGGCACAACTTTTCACTTTTTGAAATATGGCAACCGTATTAATACACTGTATACTTAAGCTGTTGAGCAGCCATGAAGTAGGTCAAAATATTTTCACTAATCTATTTGGTAAAAGCAGTTTTGCCACACTCATGGAGAATAAACTTTCTGCAGATTTCCCCCTCCTACAGACACACAATTTAAGACATGCCACAAGCTTCCTTTCAGATTATACATACGGTACATTCTGTGGAAGCCAGAAACAAATGTGTCGTACTTTTTTTTGCAGAGGGGAGTGGATTTCCTTGGTAGAGATACAATCAGTGCTCTTAAAAGAAAAAAAGGTGCCTGCACTCACCACAAAGTTGTTATAAATCAGTGCCACATTTTTAACGTTTGGAAAAAATGGTGCTGCCACTGCGTAGCCTGGGGTACCTCAGAAAAAAACGACTGGATGCAATAATGTACCATTGAAACCTCCCGCAACGCTGCTAATATCTGCTATTTTCCTATATTCTTAAATCACTCCATACTAGTCTAAGCAGCATTCTGTTTCTAAGAGGGGAGCAGCCTTCACCAAAGAAAACATATATTTAGTAAAACATATATTCTTCTTTTTTTTTAAGCGTTTATTAATTTTCCAATAAAAACATCCAATTAACATATCAAATCAAATCCAATAAAAATAAAAAACTAAAATAAAAAAGGTCCAATTGTCTTCCAAATTGTAATAATTTTGTTTTGACTTCCCACGGTCTGAATTTCGAAGCGCATTCAACATCATAGTCCTGCCTCTCATCATCCTCAATGTTATTCATAATTCCATGTCCGATTTTTCCCTTCCACATTTTGACTCTGGTTCTACGATCCTCACTCATGTCAGAAAACCGATACTTTTTTTTTCTATGGAGTGCAGATTTGTCCGTCTATTGTACTCCTTGAGCTGTTTTTCATCGCACCGTTTCATTTAATTGCATCCAATTTCAAAGTTCTGTCCAGCTCTTTGAGAGTTGTTATTTTGGCAGCTCCCAGATCGTTAATCTTTCCCGTCCAGGTGTTATCAAAGAAACAGAGAGAAATTTCCTTCTGTACCCTCCTTGTTGATTTATCTTAAACAGACTGTTTGCAATGTAGCCATATATCAGACAGTTAGCAATTGGCCTTTGGAATCTTCCCAGTCCCCCCTCCGGGCCCTAGAGGGGGGCTGCCAGACATCCATTTAGCCCTCTCTCTCGCTCGTAATCAAAAAAAATCTTTTTGCAAACAGTTGTATATGTAATATTGTTTCCAGTCTTTATAACCAACCATCCGTTAGCTCCTGTTTCTCTTAATCAGGGAAGTATTTCAGATATTCAATAACGACGTGGTGGGAGACGCCATTTTGTCCTTTGTCCTTTGTTTTCGTCTTTAACAGACATTTCCGGTCTTAGAAGAGAAGTGGCTGCGAGTAGATCCCAATTATATATGAAAGTCCATCTGAACTCACTTTTTGAAGAGCAATTTAAGTTCTTAATGAGACTTGGCATGCATTACAGATTGTTGATGTTAAGGATAAAAGAATGTTTTTTTTACATACCAAGCCCCTCCACATTCCAAACGTCATAATGAGGATCTCTTTGAAGTTCGATCTTTTGCACCAGAGACTGTACATACTGCAGGTTTTTCCAGCTTCTTCAATTCAGAGCGTGTCTGTTTGTTTTCCAAATCTTTATATTTTCCCAAACAGATGCGTCCGGCTATGGGGTGGCGTCGCAGGAGTGTCAGCCGTCCCTAGCTCCGTGACCCAGTGCCCCTGCCGTCTGCCACATCGGCAATCTGGGGCAGACCGCGGGTCGTTGAGACAGTCCTCCCCTGCCCTGGGGAGGCTGCCAGAGCTAATTACCCCCATATTAGCCCTGAATTATCGGAACGGCTGAAGTCCGATTGTGTGGGATCAGCTATTTTCCACCGCCAGCAAAACATATATTCTTAAAGGGATTCGAATCCCCCCCAATGGGGTGAGCTCCCGTTGCTCGGTCCCTGCTCCTGCCAACCTAGCACTTCAAAAGCACCTCAAAGTGCAAGTAGATAAATAGGTACCGCTCCAGCGGGAAGGTAAACGGCATTTCCGTGCGCTGCTCTGGTGCGCCAGAAGCAGCTTTGTCATGCTGGCCACATGACCTGGAAGCTGTACGCTGGCTCCCTCGGCCAATAAAGCGAGATGAGCGCCGCAACCCCAGAGTCGGTCACGACCGAACCTAATGGTCAGGGGTCCTTTTATATTCTTAAAAACATACTGGTTTTAACATGAGCCCTGTAGTCTCTGCTACTTAAACACATTATCACAATTTAACCCCAAGGTAAGCTTTGTGGCTCTGTGTAAACTATGCTAACTAAGCACTCGGTCTATTCTCCATCATTTAGTCTGCTTTCGTTGGAGAGGCACTAAATTCCAGCCCACCTAGTAAAAGAAATCTCTGTTGTCGCCATTTAGTTTCAGGAGGTTTCGCAGGATTTTCTTCCATGATTTCATATGGATTCAAGTTCTCTCTTTGGGGGGGTGGTATTCAGTGATAAATGCCAAATCCAGAGGTTTTTCATGCTTGCAGAAAAACACAAGACCTCGTACATTCAGCTCTGCTCACAAGAACCCAGCCACCATTGCTTTGTGGCTCTGTAGCTATGTGAAATAAATCACTTGCTTAAAAAAAATCTGTCCCTGAATACCTTGGTTTACATGTTCATAATACTGAGAATTTATATGAAAATTCTCAAGGGAGGCTGTATCTTTCTGGCACATTGCGTAACGCAGCCGTGTAATTTTCACTTCAGATCTCATCAGGAGGCAAGTCACAGACTCAATTTGTCATTGGTGCTGAAAGATGTGCCTAGGGAAGCAGTGGGCACTGCAGCTCGCAAAGCAAAAGGTGCTGTGGATCTGTTTGCAGGATACAACCATCTTGCTGGTGAGCTAGGGATGCTTTTCCTTCTAATCTTTGTCCCTTGTAGAAAGTTGAGAGAAGAGTAAAATGTTATCACACCACTAGGTGGCGCTGCATAGTTTGCTTTGCAAGGAGACCTCCATCTGCAAAGACTGGTGGTGTGTGGTTTTTCTCAGAAACCTGAGCTGTGTTTAAATCTGTATCAAATGAGGCTATGGAGAATAATGTATCAAGGATTTCTGAGGAAACTTAGGCCCGTCATCATTTCGAGAAGGAAAACAGTCGTCGTGTTTTGCTGAACGCAAGTGAACTCTGGCCTCTTTAGTTTAATTAACACCTGTAAGCATGTTAAGTTCAAAGATTGCTGCTGCGTCGACAGGCAGTAAAAATGTATGAATTTACTGCAAGGTGGCTGGGACTTGGAATCATAGAATTGGAAGGAATGATGAGGAACATCTATACCAATCCCCTACAATGCAGGAATATGCAGTGCCCCGTACGGGAATCAAACCTACAGCCTTGGCGTCATCAGCACTACGCTCTAACCAACTAAGCCAGTGTTGGCCAAACTTGGTCCTCCAGCTGTTTTGGGACTACAACGCCCATCATCCCTAGCTAACAGGACCAGGGGTCGGGGATGATGGGAATTGTAGTCCCCAAACATCGGGCGGGCCAAGTTTGTCCATCCCTGAACTAAGCTATCCAGATAGTTATGCCCATGTTTTGTTTTGTTTTTAATTAACATGGAGAGAGAGAGAGAGAAGTTTGCATTTTAGCAATAGCCGACGTTAAATTAACACGAGAGATATTTTCCTAATTCTGAAAGGAGTAAGTTCAGCTGTTTGCTGCCAGCTGTAATTTCTAAATAAGAACCACCTAATGAGTCTGGTCAGCAAATCCTGCTAGCTGTGTTTGTCTCGACTGAATTTCTTTCCAGTCATTTTAGATGACTCTGCCATGGGCCAAGAGATTCCAGCTTTGCTGGATCAGCTTTTACATTTGTTACCTTTACTTGGATGATGCAAAGTCTATGTGTACGCTTACACACTGTCCTTAAACATGCTGAACTAGAAATAAGGCTGCTTTTGTTAGAAATTTCTCCAAGATTCTCAGGGTTAGGAGTTAAGGCCCCGAGCCCAGCAAAATTAGTTGGCATAGTCTTTGTGCTTATTTGTTTTGGGCAATGCAAGGAAACCTCGCCATGACCCAATTTACCACTGTTTTGTTTCTCTAAAATGCAAGTATGTGATCCAAACAAACAAAAGTACTTCAGCTGCAATCCTTCACTCACTGGCAGCTGTTGTTGGCATCTGCCTGTCGCAAGAGGCAATGGAGTGCCTCTTGTCAAACCGCTGGAGAATCACAGCGCCTGCTGTGGCTGCAGAGACCAGTAACTTGTAACTGCTGCCTCCCATGTTGTTGTTGCTGCATTAGTAGCACTGAAGAGACCTCTCTGGAGAGCAAACCTGGGCAGTGTGTATGGAGGTCTTGGGCTGCCCAGATGACAAGACCCTCTTGGTCTTCAAAGGAAAGCAAATAAATACTTTTGACACCAGCTTGGCTGCAGGAGTTGCTGGAAGGAGGCGTACAAGACACCATCCAACAGTCTTAGGAACTCCACTCCAGATTTGTGTAGAGTCTACTCCTTAGCCTTTTCTTCTTTATTTATTTAAACTTGTATACTGCCCTTCATCCGAAGATCACAACATAAACATACCAAATGAAAACTCAAAATACTTAATAAAGCAAAAGCAAAAGAAACCAACAACCTCCCCTCCCATAGACACATTTAAACAACTATAGAATATTCATCAGCCAAATTCCTGGCTGAAGAGAAACTTCTTCTCAATATTTGTGTTTCTATGCACCTCTTAACTATAACAAAATGAATATTACTACCTGTTCCAGAGACACGTGTGAGATCTTATAACTAAGAGCTGGCTGTTGCTGACAATGGAGTGGGAAATTCTGTTACCACTCAAGTTACTTTTTAGCAGTATTATGGTTGACTACTTGTTTTCAAAAGCTGCATCCCAGCCCCATTTCTTTGCTCTGTACAACTGATGGCAGATCTTGGCATACCTCTCTATCAGCATACAACTCACATCCCGGCAACAGAGACTCTCCCACTTTTCCAGGATATTTAAAAAGGGCTCCAGCAGTAGAAACCCTTAGGCAATTTTTTTTTCCAAATCAGCAAAACACAACCCTAATTTTGGTATCTCACGGTAGTGATTAGAGGTGGCGTGCAACTTTTGTAACATCAAAGGCTCCTCACCCCCGCCCCAATATTTCCCCCCCAAACCCTGGGCATCCTCTGAGATATACCGTAGTTACCAGATTTTTTTTAATGAATCCGGGGACACTCCCCCCTTTTTTTTGAAGCTGAGTAGCAACAGGGAGTCAGTAGTGGGGATGGTGAGGCAAAAGACCCTGGGCCCAAGCACACATGCATATTGTCTAAAGGTGCAAAGGCCTTCTTTCGCACCCTGTGAAACATAAATGCACAGAGTTTTTGAAAAACTGGGCAACTGCTTGCCACCTGCCCATGACTCCCGAGCCTCCCCCAATCTCCTCCCCGCTTCCCCCTTTGTTTTGACTGAAGGGCTTTGGCCCTTGCCTGACAGAGAAACCACTCGCCTTGCGCCCCTCCTGGGCAACGGCCGCCCACCCGCAACTCCTGAGCCTCCCCCGATCTGTCAAAACAAAGGGGGAAGGGGGAAGGAGATACGTCCCTGATTCCCCTTCAGCAGTGACGAAGGCAGCAAGCAGCAAGCAGTTCCTGAAGCCAGCCAGAGCCAACTGTGCTAGCAGGCTGGCTCCGGGCTGCTGAGGCTGCCACTGCCACGTTTCCCGGGGACAGATTTGCAAATCTGGGGACTGTCCCCAGGAACCGGGGACGTCTGGTAACCCTACTCTAAGACTGATACCTACCTATTGTCTGGGGATGGTGCTCTTTTGGCTTCATGACAACCGTCACTCAGAGAATAAGCTCACTACAGGCATATTGCGTGTCCTTTTCCTGAGAGGTACATCCCACCTTCTGCTTAGGAAGAGGTGGGCTTGATTTAAGGATAATCTGTGAGCTGCTGAGCAATAGGTGCATCCTCTGGTTACACATGAGAGTAGGGAAAGGGAGGGGGAGATAAAGCAATTGAGGAAACGCCAATACAGTGGAACCTTGGTTGTCGAACATAATCCATTCCGGAAGACCATTCGACTTCTGAAACATTCGACATCTGAGGCGCAAGGGGGCGTCTGCAATTTCCATTGGGAAAATTGAAAAACAGGCAGCAGAGGTTGTTTGACTTCCGGGGCACGTTCAAAAACGGAAGCAATTACTTCCGGGTTTTCGGTGTTCGAAAACCGAAACGTTTAGCTTCCGAGACGCTCGAAAACCGAAGTACCACTACAGTGGTACCTCGGGTTAAGAACTTAATTCGTTCTGGAGGTTTGTTCTTAACCTGGAACTGTTCTTAACCTGAAGCGCCACTTTAGCTAATGGGGCCTCCTGCTGCCGCTGCATTGCCGCTGCACAATTTCTGTTCTCATGCTGAAGCAAAGTTCTTAACCTGAGGTAATATTTCTGGGATAGTGGAGTCTGTAACCTGAAGCGTATGTAACCTGAAGCGTATGTAACCCGAGGTACCACTGTATATCTCTTTATATGTGCTGGAAGCTGCCCAGAGTGGCTGGGGCAACCCAGCCAGATGGGTGGAGTATAAACAATAACACAATCACTATTATTATTATTATTATCATCATCATCATATTTTGCTCTTATAATTCTGCTCTGCCTCTCCCCACCCCTCCATTCCTGCATCTGTGGTATTAGTAATGAATTAAGAATTGCCATTTGCCTTCCTAATGCAAAGTAACAAAACAGCTGTCCCCGTTTGATGGGCACCGATAAGATTTCTGAAGGGATTTAGAGACAGCTTGTTTAGCCGCCAGTGGAATGGCGCTAAGTGAGGCTCCTTAACAAATAGCTCTGGAGGTCTAGCGAGTGGGGAACCTCTACCTGCTGTCATTAATGCACTGTTTCCCTGGGATCTGTTGTCATGTGCGGCTGCTGCGCAAACAAATAATGGATTTAAAATGCCTCGCGCTCCACGATACAAAGGCTGAAAGCATAAAAGCCACTAATTAGAATAATTTGCCAGGTTTAACATGCTGCGGTATTTATATAAACAGACAATTGAAATCTCCCTCTTACCAGAGGATTAGTTTCTAAATATTGGAGGCCTTTTCTTCCCTCAGCCCCCACCGCACAGAGCTTATTGTTAAGATTTTAAAAACTTACCTCGTAGGGTAGAAAGTTCCGCTCTATAAATCCAAACGATAGAGAGAACAGTTCTGGAAATGTTGTGCATATAAGGGAATCACAGATGAGTCAACCATGTCCTCTAGCAAGCAAATCCCTCCATCTGACAACGCTTGTTGTTTGAAACAGGTAGTCATTTGCATTCACGGCTGAGCAATCCAAAGAAATTTCTAGGTGCACCACAGCTCGACTGAGAACTGAGCCTCAAGTTATTTATATTTTAGTAACCTCCGTGTTAGACTACTGTAATGCATTATTTGTGGGGCTGCCATGGTAACTGACATTTAGTTTTAAAACTAGCACTGCTAACTGGGACCAGTAAATGGGAATATAGTGGTACCTTGGTTCTCACACTTAATCTGTTCCGGAAGTCCATTCCAAAACCAAAGCATTCCAAAAAACCAAGGCGCGCTTTCCCATAGAAAGTAATGCAAAACGGATTAATCCGTTCCAGACTTTTAAAAACAACCCCTAAAACAGCAATTTAACAAGAATTTTACTATCTAACGAGACCATCGATCCATAACATGAAAGCAATAAACCACGTATTGCAGTCACACAATCAATCAATCAGTAGCTGAACTGGGTTCCACACGGTCACAAAAACAAAACAAAAAGAGCCGCAAAAACAAAAACGCAAAATAAATAGCAAAAACACAAAGACTTCAGCATAACACTCAAATTGGAAGCGTAACACTCAAAATGGAGCACATTCGACTTACAGAAAAAGTTTGCAAACCGGAACACTTACTTGCGGGTTTGCAGTGTTTGGGTTCCTAGTCGTTTGAGTACCAAGGCATTTGAGAACCAAGGTACTACTGTATATATTGTCAGTGCTTCATTCAACAGTGGCACTGTTGCCTGATCCATGTCTAGGTACACTTCGAGGCCAAAGTAAACATACTCTTTGTTTTTGCTGCTTATTAAAAAATGAAACAGCCAGCACAGCAGGATGGGGTGAGCATTATTGGAATCGTGGCTTGTGGGAAGGTTAATCCTTTGCCTCTGTTGTGGTCTGAATCATAAAAAGTTCTTTTTATAAATACAGTGGTACCTCGTAATACAGACGCTTCAGGTTACAGACGCTTCAGGTTACAGACTCTCCTAACCCAGAAATAGTACCTCAGGTTAAGAACTTTGCTTCAGGATAAGAACAGAAATTGCGCGGCTGCGGCGCAGCGGCAGCAGGAAGCCCCATTAGCTAAAGTGGTACCTCAGGTTAAGAACAGTTTCAGGTTAAG